TTTTCGTAAAAACGAATTAATATTTCGTAATAACGAATTAATATTTCGTAATTACGAAATAATATATCGTTATTACGAATTAATATTTCGTTATTACGAATAAATATTTCGTTATTACGAATTAATTTTTCGTAAAAACGAATTAATATTTTGTAAAAACGAATTAATATTTCGTAATAACGAATTAAACTTTCGTAATTACGAAATAATATTTCGTAATTACGAAATAATGTTTCGTAAAAACGAGTTAATATTTCGTAAAAACGAATTAATATTTCGTAAATACGAATTATTATTTCGTTATTACGAATTATTATTTCGTAAAAACGAATTAAGTTCCGAAGAAAAAGATGTGGAATATGTCACCTTATGGGCTCCGTATGTATTGGCATTGAATGAAGAGATGACATATTAACTTCTGTATTTGTCACAAAGTTTCAAAGCACGAATGTTGTAATGTTTGTTTAATCACATTTGAAGTCTTTCTTTTGTCTCTTGAAATAATTTGTCACATTTCGTTTTTCATAAAATAAGCATTAAATAATGGGAACTGTCAAATTATGCCTGCAGTCCTTTAGAACAAAAATCAGGTGTGTAGAAATTGTTAATTGACTACCTTTGATAGTTTCCAAATGTTTATTATCTCCGATTACATGTCAGGAATAAAGTTTCTTTAGTTGTGTATTAATGAAGTCAGAAATGCAGAAATAGAGTAGTCCTTCGGGGGAAGGTAATTTGTCATTTTGATAAAAGCAGTCAAATATCTATATAATCAAATATTCAATTGTTTGAAATGCCAATACATCGTGTATTCATACCATAAAAAAAATAATGATAAGAGACATATTGATTTAAACAATGAAACTTTAACTTTTGCTATTATCAATTATAGATGAACAATGTTGTTGTATCAGCATTTTCGAATTAAATGAAGGAATAAAAATAATGATCTAATGAGACCATGTTAGAAAAGGCAAAACAAAGAGTAGTTTAGACCATTGTTTGATATTCATAAAACATTAAAATATGACAGCTCTTAGGTTTTATTTGTAACAGTTGGTCCCATTGAGTTACTGCTATCTTTTATTGCAACATGTTCATGAAAAACCATATTGTCATAATATTAATTCTAAGCCAGAGAAGTGTTTTGTTAAGCTCTCAATATCATAGCATGGAAGCCAAAGCTTCAAAAGGTAACTAATAAATATTCCTTATTAATAATTCATCATGTTTATCTTTTGTTCGTGTATTTAAAAAGAGTATTGCCACTTTAATTTCGCTTGCTTGAATTTCAGTCGATCAAAACTAATTTAATGTATTGAATATCGAATATCAGTGTGTGCAGCGCATTTATTGTGGAAAATTGAATACCTTTTAAACCGGTGCTAGGGTCGTGGGGGATTTAGCAATTTTTTATTATTACTCATGAACCAACCCAATTAAATTGAGTCTTCAGATTTCATGTGAATAAGTTGCTTTCGTTGCTTTCAAGAGATCACCCCTTTATCTAGATTTTTATACTTTACAAAAGCATGTGTCAAGTGCTGTGTGTGAGTTATGACCAATGGTGCGACGTATTTCCCTTTAGTATTGTAATATTTTCTGATCTGTCAGGATCATTTAGTGTTGAAGAATAAATACCATCCAACCTGTTTCTAGAGGTGTATGGGATATTACACTTTTAATTATCCCCATTAACAAGACTCACTTATACCGAGTCTCTAGTTTTCATTTAAATGTTGTTTTCATTGTTTTCGAGGTATCCCACCTTTGCATATTTGTTTTGCATACCTTGTATAGTTATGGAATCGAGTATTTGATTTTTACAACAGTTTTCATCAGTTGAAACACGTTTAGTGAAAAAATTAACATGTTGAAACAATTTATTTACTGTTTTTATATTTTATAAATTATCTTTAATTCTTATATTAACAAAGTAGAGATATATTTTGTTTATTCTATTATATTACACGGTAAATACCGGGGTGGATAGTGTGCTTTTTTCTTTTAAGAGCTTATTAAACTTAGTTTACTAAAATGTAAATAAAATATAACATACAAATGTTAGTTAATGCATGACATTTAAATAACGTGTTTACAAATTAAATCTCACTATGTAAGAACTTTGTTCCTATACTAAGTATGCATCAACGGCCAAAAACAATTAAACATTTTAATTGCCTTATTTGATACGCTAGCATATGACTCAATAGAACTAAAACAAAGCCATGAAAATGGAACCATGAATAATGTATAATTAATCAATCAATTGTGATATGTGACAACAGTATCTGCCCACCCTTCCCTTTTTACGTCAACAGTTAAAAAGTCGTATGATATCCGAGTATTTATTTTTTAATGTATTTAATATATATAATGCTTTGTGAATAACAAACAGATGTCCTTTTTCGACCGAAACGCAAACAGCAAAAATTTTTTTTACATCCTTATTGATTATATTTGTTGTTCGAATTATTTAAGAACGAGAGTGTATCATTCAGTTGTTGTTGCTGATGATGTTGTTGTTGTTGTTATTGTAATTGTTGATGATTAGTTGTTGTCAAACATTAATTCTGAAGTCGACAAACATCGAAAATGAATGAAATGCTTTCAAAAATACATTTTGGAAATTCAGATTTCTGTTATTTTTAATGCTTAAGCCAAACGTATTATTTAAGGTCATTTTACAACTAATCCAAACAACCAAAATGACAAATTTTATTTTTATTTAAAGTTAAACATCTTTCTAAACGTATAATTATATTTAGATTTAACAAGCGATTGAAAGATCTAATATTTACACTACCTAGCGCTATATCACAAAGGATTATTGAGAAATGAATTTCAAATTGTGTTTAGGTATACATATTTCGTGTACAATTCTTGCCCAAGGAAAGAACGGCTTCTTCATGGAGGGGAAGTAATCCTTAAATAAAAAAAACGACTTGTTAATCACTCCATCGCAGCCATTTGTATTGCTATATATCTTTCAAGTATAATTAATGTTTATTTACATAGATATTTTTCGATCAGCAGTGTCGTTATTGCCTTTTAAGTAAAATAGTTTCCTATTGGTAATAATTCGACTATAGCTTTTTATTCCCTATGATCAAGTAATAAGAAATCGTTGACTTCTTTTGCAACTAACTTTGATGTTTGGGTTTCAATAAAATGCGGATATGTTCACTACTCGAAGACATTGACCCGTTGTTAGATAAATCTATATAGATATATTATCTATAGCCACTTTTTAGAATCGGCTTTATAAGCTTTTCATCCTTAAAATAGTACTTAATTCTTCTCTTTTTTAAACATATCATCTTTAAATATTTTGCATCTATTTGGCTTTGGATCATTTTGCCCCAAAAATACATTTAGTTTGCCTTTAAAAGGTAATTAAAATATTGAGTATAATTTGATATCATAGGTCTATACAGAAAAAGGTATCAAATTCAGATTCCCGAGTCTTGTAGTTTTAGCTAAGCTTTTATCGGAACAAAATACTTTTGTGCGAATTCAATTTAAATTCTCAGCCATATGTTTTCTTCCTCTAATGAAAACTTTATTAGAGCCTCAAGTGTTGAAGTATCAAAATGATATCGCTAAACTAATGCAGCTTGCTACATTCCTTGGAAATAAAACAATTTATCACATGACTTGATTTTCCTGAATTTTTTATTTGTAGACAATCCGGGATTGTCGATTTCCATTCTCTCAGTGTCTCGACCATAGCAATACCTTTGGCAATAATTAACTCAATTCGGATGACGAATCTGAATCGGTTGTTGCTGTACCAGAACAACACTTAACCAATGGCAAGCCTATAAATGCTCTAAGAAAGCTTAATATGATTAGAGAACAATTTGTTTTTATGTACGGGAAATTTTCTTTTATTTTGCATCATTCAATGTATAGGCAAAATGCAACAGACATTAAAGCATCGTTTATTTACACCTGACTTTAGTACATTTACTTAAGTGCTATGTTTGAAGACATAAATGAAAATGCCTGAATCACTTAAGATACAAACGAGTTTTAAAACTATACACGATTATGCTGACTTAATATCAAACATACGACCAAACATTTCACAGCACAATATAATAGTCTATGAATGCAACGGATAAACTTTTTTTGTCATTGAATAAGTAAGACAAATTCAATTATTGTATTAAAGTGGTAGACATTTTTCTTTTTGAGCAGTTGTATTAATTTTATTTATTCATTTCACCGTGATCGGATTTAGAAGTGTTCCTTATAACTGTATCTTATAATAAAACAACAACAAGGTATAATGCAAGTTCTTTAATACCCATTTTTGTCCGACTTAAATTTAATTGACATGATCATTTTTTCGCATTCATGTACTTTTTTGTATTAGTTTTTAATTAACATCCTTAGTGATTGTTGTAATGGTTATTATTAATGATATCTATGCTAATCGTGCTTTAACCTTCCACAGCAGCGACCTTTTTTTCCCATTCATTCAATGTGGACAAAAACATGAAGATAATCCAATTACATCACTTAATATCACACACAATATGAAACTTCTACATGGATGCGCATTGACAGAGAGCTCCTGGTGTTTTACATTTATCGTTAAATTGGTAATTCAAGTCATGAGTACTGAATTTTCTACTCATACCATGGACAAATGTTTTGCCGTTGAAAAGAATTCGAATTGTAGATATCCTTTTTGCAAAAAAGGCAGACTTATCCAGGGCATCGTATACTTATGGAAATATGACACATACAAAACACCTTACCTGGTATGCACAAGAGTTATCAATTCTCAGATTTATTTATCATTTATTCATCATTTCGAAGCAAGTAGCTTTAAAAGCTATTGTTGAAAATGGAACTAATAAGAAGACTTCACATTTAGACAATAGAAAATGCTCTTCTGATGTTTTCAGTAAAATCTAATAGGATACACCATTTTAGAAATTTTACAATGAAAACTCACCGTGATACAATAGACATAACAAAACTCTGCACAGAGAAAATATAATTTATTTGCATGAACTTATCAATACATTGCTGACGTGATAACTATCAATAGTTTTTTTTCTTTTTATTTTGTTTTTGAAATGCATTTTAAGAAATTTAAGACACAAAATATATGAAAAGAAATAACAGTAATGATAATAATACACTTCAAGTATTAGAAATACACTTCAGATTTTAAAATCTGACATTCACCATAAAATATAAGATTTTAAAAAATATTTAAAAGACTGAAATGATTAAAAGGAAGGGCAACATAAGCTATTTTGATTTTAAATCGCTTCCATGACTGGATATTTTACCGAAAATGACGTTTTCTATAAAGTAAGCATTGATGTTCAACCGACAAATTTGATAATACATACGTTTTCATACTTTTGACATATACCTAACATTATAGTAATGTCCGTTCATTTGATTATCATTTGATTATTATTATATAAACACTTATTTAAAGGGAACTGGTTAAGGAAACACAATATATAATAATTGTCCCTTTCATCGGGAACGTGCAAACATATTTTTCGGTCTTCGTTTAATTATGTTTTAACAAATGATTTGTTTATAAGTCAGGTTAGCATATGTTTTCAAAGGACATTTCTTCAAATAATCCGTACCATTTATATAAATATATCGTTGTTGAGCTTTAAATTGTTATTATTATAAGATTTTGATACCATTCATTTTATCAATAAGTATGTAACGACAATAAATGCTTGGAAAACGCTATTTAACTGGATTTTGTAAAAAAACTAAAGTATACAATGTATTAAATCTAGATACAAATGTAACCAATCAAAATATTTGATATCATCTCGTTGCCTCGAGGTTATGTAAGGAATATTTTCGAAAAATGTCAATGTTCCCCTTCATGCTTTACTACGCAAGGTATTCCGTATATCATTGAGATATGACAACGCCTCCATTCTGGCTGCTGGGGAAGATTTTAGAAGGTCCAATATGAGTTGCCTGGAATTACGTAAAATATTAATAAATTATATAAACGTTAACCTTCGAATTGATACATTCATATACAGATCTTGTCATAGTGGATGAGAGAATTCGTGCCTTAATATAGCGATCATTAATTTCATCTGTCAATCTAAATAACAACAACAAATTATGTTATCAGACAATTTAAAAGTCGAAATACTAGCGTGGCGTTATGTTCAGAGATTTTGTGTTAACCAGTGTTTAATTTACGATAACCGTCTTTATTTTGTCTATTTCCATTTGATCGCAAGGAACAAACTTTAGATAATATACGTCGTGATAACAAACAAAACCAGACTAAAACTTGAGCACCTAGTTACATTTGATTTTGGTCAGAAAACAAATTAAATTGTAATAAGTCTGCCAAAACAAATCACTTTCTCTTTATTAGTTTTCTGTTTCTTAATTAAAGTAAGGAGTTGCATAAAAAGACGTTTTGAAGAAGATATGTTTTATTTCTTATATCTGATGGCTGCCTCATACATTTTCTAATTGAAACAACTAATACAAATACTTAAAATAAACTTAATTTCCACAATCCTACGTCTAAGGCAATAAAGCATGAATTTATGACAGAGTTGTGAGTGAATTGTTCTTTTTTTTGACGGAGAAGACAATCACTTTGTTTCTGAAATTGTTATAAAAATCATGAAATGCTAGCTTGCTTGCTTTCCTTAGTTTGTTTGCATCACGTCGAATTAACTTATATCTAAATGCTTAATCAAAAGAAACATTTTAATTATTTCTTAAAATCTAATACATTGTCTTTCTTTAATTTCGTTTTATTTGTTGTTGAAAAAAAATGCTATTCTTGAATCTGTTTAAGAAATGTACCTTTTACGTTCTCTACGGCCTTCCCTCTCATCAACTCGTGGAATATTGAATAGTTCGTCGTCTCTTACATTCGGTACTGCAACAATGTCTTCTTCGTCTAACTCTGGAATGCTGTACACATCGTCGTTACTGTAGAATGGGTAGGTATCGTATATTTCTCTACCAAACATATGGCCAACATTTGCTTTCGCGTTGACCTTCGAATCCTCTCGTCTCAAAAGAAAGTTTTCATCGGAAGGCTCGTAATCAACAGGAAACTCGCCTGAGAACAAAGAGAGCTTTGATAGTTTCTGTCCACCAGTTCCAAAATTATATGCGTCCTGTGAGGCCCGTTTTCCGTACACGTGAGCAAAGTTTCTCGGACTTTTCAATCTTTCACATTTACTTATGGCAATGCAAACTGACACAATTACTACGAACAATGTTGCTGGAGTAAAACAATGAACTGACGCCATCTGTAAAACAAATTATTGACAGTAATATTAGTTATTAAAACAAGCACTCTATGATCAATTGTTTTTAATAAAAAGGAAAATAAAATATTCAATTTCCACTTGAATACTGATTTCACATAATAAACAAACTTAAGTGGTTCAGTACAAGAAAAATAGTTAAAATAGACAACCTTTGATGAATGTTGTAAATATATGTATTCATTATTAAAGTAAAGGTAAACCCACAGTTACTTAAGTGCATTCATAGATATTTTGTATAAGCTGTTTTCTTTAATGTTGTATCCAAATCTTCTAAAGAGAGGGGTATCCCAAACGGCAAATAATATACATAATGAACATTTAACGGTGAATGCGTTAGTCATTTAGTGTTGTATACCTACAATTTCTTTTTTAGTTCAACAACTCAGCTAATATGTAATTATGAAAATCATTATTTAGCTTTTTTGGAAAACCTGTACGAATTGTTCTTTTCACAGATACCTATTATTAACAATGAATTTATTCAAGAAATCCCTAAAATAGAACACTTATGTACACAATATCATTAACGATATATAACATGCTGCTGTTAAGAAGACGTTTTTATATTGTGTCTATTTTTTGCTGCAATATATGTCAGTTTAGAATCTTTAATTAATTAAAATCCAAATGTAAATAACATTATGTTTCGTGGCAGTTGATGAAAGTTTGACACACTCCTTTGTACCATGTTAAACAGAGTTGCTCTTGATCATATCAGTATGTTATTTAGTAGTGTAATCATCTACTAATTGTCAATGCATTTGTCGGAAGGTAATGACTTTGCGCTCACATCTGTTTTATGTCAACAAGTTAATTTTACTGCGATCTGATATCGCACTCAATTTTTCCTCAGAAAGCAAACATGATTGTTAATTAATTCGTTTTCTAAAAGTTGCTTGCTTTCGATTAAAGATTAACATATAGATTTCTTCATTTGTTTATGACGAGGCAAATTTTGGAATGGCATGTTGAGAGCAATTGAATCTTTCAAAAACACTAATTTGTTTTTAATATATACATTACAGATTGCTCCAATCAATAAGCTCGTTTATGTCAGAGGTGTATCTGCTCAATGTAATATAATTAATGTTTATTTACAACCACGAGTCGCCAAGTCAAGTCAAGGCAAGTCACAGTATAGTTTTATAGATAGTTTCCGACTAAAAAAAATAGCTATCATGCCAAAAGTAGCAGTCATTTTTAGGGTCAATATTCCACTTATTCTATTGGAACATACTCGTAAATATGAAAATGACAATAGTAAAAAGATTATTCAGATGAATTCGCAAGTTCATTTACAAATATAAAGAAATTTATAATTTAGATAGAAATATTATTCAAACAAAACCATCATACATGAAAATGATAGTATTTGGAATAACTGTCAAAATAGTGAACATTAGATGGAATGCTTGTTATGCGAAAAAACTTCTAAAGCAGGGCTTAAAAGTTTCTTTCTTAAAATTATATAACATATCTCTTAAAATTTCAAATAATATACATGTGCATATATCACAAACACAAATATGACCTGAAGTCTGTGTTTTATCCGGAATCGATGATAACGTCATGTCATGTCATGTCACAATTGAAAATATAGTTTTAATTCGAAAATGTACCTAAAAATGGTTATTACATGGGGTTATTTACGTAATTTTACTAGAATTGATCTCGACTTAGGTAAATATACTCGAGTCAAAAACATGGTCACGTTCAGGGAAATCCTATAATACATCTGTTTATTTTGGATCTTCAAGACTTGTACGATGATTATAGTCGCCAACAGATGTTAACGTTACACTGAGGTAATGTGCTGTCATTTTAAATAAACATTATGCCTCCAGATTTGTATCATTTTAAGGTGATAGTTTAAAAATTGCTTTATCGTGTTAAAAGTGTTTGCAAGTTTACAAATTAACTTATTATACTAAAGCGAATATTTTTCGCAGACACTACAACTAAGTTGTCCAAATATATTGACATTTACCTCCCTACTTTAGATATTGGGTAAAATATTGTGATAAAAACAAACTAGGAATGACACATTAGGTAATTTATTATATGTAAATTAATGTTATGTTATACATTTTACACTGATAGAAAACATTTATACATAACGGTACGTGTTCATTTATGAGACAGACAAACACTTATACAAACAAGTTATAAAAGTGTCCTTTAAACTATAGAAAAAATAACATCTTGACGTTCTGTAGAAGGTAGAAAATTTAAAATAACTTGCTACCTTTTGGACACATTCTATTTACTGATAGTCAGCGCGACTAGATTTTAAAATAAATGAGATACAATTGAATATAATGTTTCACTTATGAAAGTCATAATTCTTGCCATACCAATTACTTTTACTTCGGCGTGACTTAAATAGAGAATACTTGAGTAAAATGCTCACCCGTATTGCTTTGTTAAAAGTAAAATGATATATTGAAAATAAAATATGCATTATGCATTATTTATTTACTAACTTATTTTGACAGCTTAAGTTTATGACGCAGGTCTTATCTGTGTTGAAACAAATCTGCTACAGCCTTATGGAAACTCATAAAATAGTTTAAAATTTTTAATTATTGATATCATAGAATACATTTTGTTTTCTTTCTCGGGCATGTACATCGCACTGTAATCATAAATGAAATATATACCTAATGAAATATATAGACCTAATACATATTGAGAAAAGCTTATAACAAATAAAATATATTACCATGTTTACAGCAAAGAATAGATTACAATCCTAAAACTAAACATCCCCATTTGTATAACTTTTTGTCTTTTATCTGTTTGTTAATTACCTTCATAAACCTATTCTAAGCTGACTCTGCGCAAATATATTGACCATGCACTCTCTATAACATATAAAAGATGAATACATACATCTCGGATGTAAAAATTGGAAACCAAACATTGTCTCTTTTATTGTTTGATTAACATCAATGATTTTTATCGCGGCCATTATGGTGTGGGTCAATACGATCACATTTCATTATTTACATGTTTCCGGTCATAGTATATTTTGAAATTCTATATGTATGCCAATTACTAGGAGAATCAATAACGGACTGACAAAAGAATAGTCTTGGAAAATGTCATTCATCATATTGCGAACTCTCCATGATGTTTGAAATTGATGAATCATTATAAGCATCGATTGTTTCTTTCAAACTTTTGCAAAAAAAATGAAAAAACATTAAACTTAATAAAATGTTTCGGAACCCAGTATTCAGTTGCTTATTAAAAAAACGATGTTACGTTTAAGAAAAAAACTTTCAATTACTGTGTCGTTGTTTGCTATAAATATCCTTAATTGTCAAAACATCTATAATCGCCGTTTTTATGTCAACGAATGGTGACACATTTATGTAGATTTTGTTGTTTTTAAATAATTTACCTAAATTGATTCAAATGCATATTCCCGACAGGTATCATACGATTCCTTTTCTGTCTATTAATAAGTTAAATCTACATTTATCTTCATGAATGAAATTTCCAGGATTTTCTATAGAACAATTCTATAAGACTCGTCTTTCATCCTTTTCTATCATGTAATAATGTTTTGTTCGTTGTTTATTTGTAATTACATTATATATACTTTAGGGAATAAATAATTTAAACCAACAGAATTTCAAGATTAAGAGCGGACTGAAAATATTTAAAAAATATTTGTTTCGGTTCGAAAATTAATGAATCATTTTTTTGTACACAGTAACGATAGACTACATCAAATATTCATTTTTGTAAACTTCTGTGTAAATTGCATACTTTTTCCATTGATACTATTCTACCAGAAAATTACCGGTTACATGAAAAAGCATTCTATTTTGGTCCTTTAATCACTAATAGTATAACGGCAATTTTCTGTAGTTTTACACATAATTGAGACAATATCAGTTGAGAGTCAAATGATGTTTTCCGTATATTTTAATCCGACAAATTAAAGGAACGTTTTAAGTTGTTTAAAAGTCGTTTTTAACAGCATTCATTAATCACAATCACTAATACTGCATTTTATATTGCATTTACTAAATTCAGATAAACAGTTACGTGATAAACAGACAGAATTAAATATTATTCATTGTATTTTAACCGGACAAAGTAATTTACGAATCAAGTTGGTTCCAAGCGACTTTTTACACCAAAGTAAATATTTCATATTAAGATAGAATGTAAAATGATAAAGCAAATGAATCAAATACTTTTTAATATATTTCAAGCCACCAGCTTAAACAAATTAAGTTGATCAAAAACCCCTTTCAATGCAAATGTGGATATTGCTTCATGCTTAAAATATCAGAAACAATGCATGACACAATCAAAAAGAATCATATTGTATGTTGTTTATATTACAAAAGTACCATAAAATGCAGAAAACAAACAAACAAGAAGTAAAAAAAGAAACAACAACAACAGAAAAAGAATATGTGAATAATGACTAAAGGCTACGTTCTATGAACGTAGTCGTCTGGCCTTGTTCATCTTTCTCGTTTTATTTTCATAAATCAAATCGCCAGTTAGGTATCTGCGCGTGCTTCATGTGTCAAGCCGTTGCTAAATCAGAAATATTGTAATGAAGTGTGAACAAATGGAGCGTTATAATTATGACAAATGGAAACTTCTTCGCAATTTCATGGTTCAGCTAAAATTGTGGTATATTAGCCTTTACATGTAGTAAAGCACATACTGTTTTCTGTCATATATCAAAGGCTTTCAGTAATGTCAAACATAAAAGGCGGAAGGGAAAGCAAATGATTTTGTATTAGATATTTTCAATAATAATGAATGAAAAGAGTCGTCATATTAGCAAAATTTCAGATAAAGTAAGTACTTGTGTGTATCAGTCAGTTATTATGAACAGTTACTCTAAAGTTATGAGTCTGTATTAAATGTCGGTATATTTATTACAAAAGAAAAGAAAAAGAAAAAAACAACAAACAAAACAAAAAAACAACAACAAAAACAACAACAAACAAATAATAAATAAGCAGCATAAAAGCGTAAGGTTTGGCATTTATGCTGATATAAAGACAATAAAGAAATGTCTGTTCAAACATTTTTGAAAAGCAAGCTTAGATGCATAAAATTAATAATTTATAAACTGTCATATCCTCCATCAAGTTTGGAAACGCGCAAGTCAATGAATAAAAGAAACATTTGATCTTATATTTTCTTCTTTTTAAAAACATCTTTTGCCGCGAATATGAGAACAACAACATAAAAAATTACACAGAAACAACAAGAACCAATGCAACAATATGATTGGATGACCACCTAACAAATATCAATCAACTTAATGTGTGGTTTTCCGGTTTATTATATATAATTAAGATTTTAATATACGGCAATCCTTTATATCCTTTATGCTCCTTTATATGGTCATCTTTCTTGTATTTGACTCTAGCATGAAAGTAGGCATGTATTTTAATGTTAAAATGTTGTAATAAACAAAATTAAATCAAACAATATAAAGCTGTTCAAAAATGTAGATGATGTATTCATTTTGCATAGGATTAATGTAAGAAATCTAAAAAAGCAAATGTTTCAATCTAGTTAGGGCTTAATACACTTTGAAATAAGTACAAAGTTTATTAAAAAATAAAGAAGGAATATTAAAAAAAAAACGCTTAAGACTATCATAAGTATAGTATAATACTTTTTGAATGCATTTTGGTCAATTATTAGTTAAAATATTTCATAACAATACATTATTGTCCGTTTATACCTTTTTTGTTTTTTTTGTTTTATTAGTTTATCAAAATAGATAATGCTTCTTCTGCAGGAAACGTAGAAATGTTTTCAGTTTAATTAAACATATAAAGATTTATCAAATAACCTCCATTTTCAATCTTTGAAATACTTAATTGTTAAAGGCTATATTTGCATTACTAATAAAAGGATTTGCTTTTATCTTAAGAATGAAATTTATATAACTGCTTTGAACATAAATATGTAACTATCTTTCATATTACTATCAGAAACGATCGTTAAATTCAATAAAGGTATGTAATAATGTTAATATAATATTATACGATATTTTACACAAGAATCAGCGTTTCATTTGTGAATACAATATGAGTAACTGAGCATAGAAGAAGACGTCTAAAGGAGCAGATTTTATCACATAAATATATTACATCTGTACAAGTTTAAGACGTTTGTCTGTCGTTGGCGAATATGGCTAAATATTACACTTACGTGCGTTTAAAAAAATTAATTGCCAAATCATTGTCTGATAACTATAAAGTATATATTAAGCTTCTTTTATTTTTTTTACATTTAAATGTTAATCTTGTGCTAATTAGCGCACAGAGATTTTACAATATTTCTTACTTTTTTAATTTAGCAATCGTAAAAAAGAAAGATATTCCAAAACTACTTTCAGCAATTTTTATTTCTTTCTTAAGCACGCGCGTTAATTAAAACAAAACGTCTTTTTTCCGGTCTTATCTTTTAATTAATCTGTGTTAATGACACTTTAAGAATAAAGAATAAAGTATAATGTTTGATGTGGAGGATTAAGCAATGATACAGTACGGTGTGAATTAAATGGAGTAACCTGCTTAAGTGACTTAGTTTATAATTTTTTATAACCCCACTTATGCTCTTTATTGTATATTGCGTTTGCTATAAAATAAAAATAAAATCATACTGGTTTCTTTGATTTCTCTGATACTCATGTTACCATTATAAATGAAAAAAAATGGCTAACTGAATATTTTTTTTTTACATTTATTTTCATTTCATTATTTATATAATTTTTAATATAAAAGTTTTAGACATATTAAATGCATTCTTTTAACAAAATCTTGAATAAATAATCTTACAAACAAACGAGAAATAAATGTATAAATATTCATTATATGAAGACATACTTTACAATCCATATCAACACTATCGAATATTGCACAGTTAATAAATTCTTGAAATTAGTTGTTATTCAACTTTTAACCATATTTCTATCAAAGCATTGCCATCATCGATTAATTACGAACAAATAAAAACTACCTGACAGATCAAACAATTCATCTGAACAAATAACTTGCGGTAATGCGTGCCTCAGCGGTGTCAGTTAAACAGCAAATTGAAAATTAATCAGGCACATGGAACCATCCGATAGACACTTGAATGTTTAATTCATTTTATTCTGCAAGAACGCTTTTAAAATAGCTTAACAACAACGCAACTTAATGCGCTTCATCATAGTTTTGTAGAAAACATTTCTATCAATTGAAAAGCATTGTTATAGTTTTAAATAGGTGCATTCTGCGATGAATGCTAAATTATAAATCAAACTCATGTTAATTCATAAAGTCATGAATTCAAATTGATAACAAGTACGAATGATAAAGTACGTGAGAGAGAAAAAGAGAGATTGAACAAACGCAAATAAAATACTTCATTTTAAATTATGTTTTTACTTGGAAAAAACAGCAGCAATAAAAAAACATTTCATGAAATATAACATCAAAAAATTCAATAATTGCCTATTTTTCTCGTTAATATTATTCTTATATGTAACAGAAACAAAGTCTCATTTTCTTTTTATCATTTACATTTGTTCGTGGTCAAAATATATATATATATGCATATATCTTTATAAAATAATTTCCTAAAATCAAACTAATGAAAAAACCATTTAGTATACATGACATGTCATTGTTTTTGTGCAAAAATTAGAAACAAATATTTAAACACATATGTATGTTATAAAACTTACCTCTAAGTTGAAATGAGTGTTGAATAGGTAATACAGTTATAAATTGAATTCTTTCCAAATATCTATCTTTTAAAAGTTAATTAGTTTTCAGAACATTTTTCAAAAGAAAAAGAAGTTCAATATTATTTCCCTGAACTAAAGTCAAATACTAATCCATTGACAACCCGTTATATACTGCCAGTTTAACGTTTTCCTCTTAATTATTAAAACTGTGATATCAATACGTCGAACAAGCTTTCATACGTCTCATCTTAAAATGACAATGTTTGATACAACTAGATCAAATTTATATTCATCAAATGCCTTTTCAATTCCAATAAAGGGTAAACAATAGTCATTTATTGATTCTCAGCCCTCGTTTATTAGAGTGTTGTTTGGCCGTAAAATACCGCCTCTTTGATGGAAGGACTTTGTAATTCATACTTTCATTTCATATTTATGTTTTGGATAACTTGATTTATAATTCTTTTTTTTAAATTAGAAAACGAGACAATGCATCACGATTTCATGAGCATCAGAATTACATTTCATACAATTCAGATGGAAAATAACGGTAGGAAAAACGTTTGAAAAATTTCATTTGTTGTTTTGTTTAAAACAATGATAAATAATATATTGACAAACATAAATCAAATAAACCTTTTTATGTTGTCATGTTGAAAACCGAAAAGGTCAATGTAAAAGTCATTAACTGAACATAAAAAATAAAAAGCGATAACCCATTAGCATAAAGTATTAACTGACGATATAGATTTAAAACGATTTTTTTCGGATTGCAGTGAAATCGATTTTCCATTATAACTTTTTATTGTTCAGTTTTAGAATAGAAATATTCGGTATGCTGGCATTAAAATCATATATGTTTTATCAGAATCAATTTAAACTTTGGAACAATTAAAGTATGTTTTTAAATTTTATAATTGTGCTTTAGTTTTATTAGAAAAACAAGCACATAAATAGTTACTTTGTTTTAATCGGAAACATAACCTTACTGTTAGTGTAACAATAAAAGATGAAATTATTAAATTGTTACCATACACTAATGATTTCAATTTACAATATCGACTTAGACATATGTGCACGTGCTGAAAAGCAGGTTTGTTGTTGCATTGACACAAAAAGGAATCATTAAAGGAATATATTCATGGTACACTTTACACATACTCGTGGAGCAATGATAATTTTTGCTCTTTCTTTATCCGACATCTGTAAATCAATATACGTCTAAAATGGCATGTAGCAATTTTTACAATCATAAAATTCATATTATTCTCCTCCTTTGTCAGATTTTGCTCGAGCGAAGTGGTGTTGTTGATAGTTTTCGCTATCACGGCAATAAGCTTCATTGAATTTGCCAGAGTACAGTTCAGACACCGCATAGGGAGTCCGCCTCCTATGGTTTATCAACTGAATAGCTTCAATTCTGATAGATCTATGCTCGCAACAGTTTACAATCTAGGATATGAGTGAGCATCGTAAGTTTTGCCTCTAACTTTCAAGATTGCTTTATAGGGATATTGTGTTTATATGCATTAATTATCAAATGCGAAGTAAGAACGAAACGTTTATATACATATTGCATGTACCATGATGTAATGTTCTATGAGTAACCTTAAACACATTAAATGTTGAAAGTTAAAATTATATTCTAATAACAAACGTTCTTTTTTTTCTACAATAAAAACATCATTCATGTAAGTCTTTACTATTTTTGTAATGCTTTAAACTGATATATCGGGACGCTAGGCGATGTTTGAATCAGCTCATGTTTTTTTGTTCTTTTAACACAAAATACACACATATCAAAAGAAAATAAAAGCCTAAGGGCAGGCAAAACATATATTAAAATGTTATGAATACACACATGAAAAGAAATACTAGTAAGCTTTGTTCAATTTAGTCTGCGGTTTAACTGCTATGAAACTGCTAAGTTATTGTTTTAAAAGATTAAAGACGATTTTTCGCATCGAACAGTACTAAAATCAATGTATGTAATACTACATAGTTTAAATAAAGAAAAAGAGTGCCACACTATTTTTTTTATAAATTGAACTTTACACGTTACACGTAAATTCCGGTGGATATTTATAAATTGTTCCTACAATTATTTATGGGATGGGCATATTGCACTTTAACCTTTTGTTTTATACTTACAACAAACTGAACATATTTTTTATTATGTTTGATCGAGGAAACACATACTTTTTCAATAAGGTGTTTAAAGATTGTCTTTTAATATTATGTGTTTTAATGTTACAAATGTCGAAGTTTACTTGTCTTTTTTAAATAATTTAAAAGCGTTGTTAGTTCAATAATTATAGTTAAAGAATACGCGAATTGTGTAACCATTCTACAATTGCCGTAAGTTTGAATGTGAATCCTATTGTTCGTATTATTGGTCTACAATAACTGTGGTATACTGTATTAAGTTTTGTTTATTAGAAGTTAGTCTAACAATAGTCGTTCTAAAAGTGTTTGAGTCTATCTATATTGCAGTTCTCTGATTGCAAATTGTCACTTTTTGCGAAAATACCACGAAATGGATAGCATTTGTTTAGAGCACCAAATGTCTCGAAATTAATCACAAATGATTCATGAATCATAATGAAATACCTTTTGAAGACTAAGTTTTATATTATTCAATTTAAGTCGTTTTGTGTGGTTGCACAATACATGTAGTTATTTATTATTTATTAAAACTTAAAGCGGCCTTCAGCTTTTGATTTCTGTTTGGGAAAGCAATTCTGTGTTTTTAAACTAAGTTGTTTTTGGAAAAGTGCATCATATTGTTAAACTTTCTTCATGACAGCGTCCGGAGAGCTTTTTATAACGCGTCAATGACGTTTGTTTCTAAAACAACGATCGGAAAACGAATTCTCCTCTTTACTTATTTAAATATATAGAACGGACCGGTATGTATGTGGTATCAAGGAGTTTCCTTATTTCTTTATTTATTTTTTTCGTCGGCAAATTTCATTTTCTTTCCGAGTCGGAACAGCGTGATCCTACGTTTGTTTATTTCAAATATATGCGATTGGCAACACGATTAATCTTAGCCAGAAAATCATCGGAGTGGTATTAAGACATATTCTACACATTAGTTCGGTGACACAGGAAGTGTTTCGTGAGAAAGCCAGTATTGCGAGAAATGTGTATAGGTTGAAAATGTCCAAGATGCAATCTAATAGTGCCGCGTGGTGAAGAGTGGGTTGTTTTAAAATCGGCATTAAATTGTTACCTTTCCTTTATCTCTGTAAATTGTTCGACATGTGTTGCATTAAATATTTATTCTGAATATTATGTTTCATATACCGCATAATTTGTATGTATTTCGTTACTTTTGTTTAATTATTGTTTTGTATGATGCTAAATACTGTTTATAGTTTTACAGACCTTTCATTATGGACTTATTCACTTTTAAATTGTACTTCAAAAACAAAATAATGTTTCGTTCTTTAGAAAAGGCAAAACATGAACTTTATAACGTTTAAATAATGGTTTTGTTAAAACCATATCAGATACGTTTCACCTGGATGAAGTAAGTAGTGCTGAACGTATAGTTGTCATATAAGTAGCAAAAGGTAAACAAAGAAGAATTTTAAATTCCATACAGAATACTGAAATAACTATAACTTTACTGATGTTAAAATTCACAAACGAACAAAAGATGGTTCAGGTAAATGTGCATTGAGGAACAATTTAGAAATGTAGCGGGCCATCAATGTTAAAATTACAGATTTTGAGAAATAAAATTATTGATAAAAGCATAACTGGGAGTAAATAGGTTAAAATGAAATTTAGAATAGTTTGGAGCCATCGAAAAAATCATTTCTTAACTAATTGTATTATTGTTAACCAAAGTGTATCAATCGAAATATTTTATATCAGTTTCAAAGCAGGTTATATATAAGTTTTGTCTATACACAAAGAGTTATAGATTGGGCCTTGAAAGCATTACATTAATAATAAATGCGATTGAAAAAAATGAAACAAGCTATAAGATATAAGATATCAAAAGATGTACGCCAAAATTAAAAAGAAATAAATAATATATATATCAGATAAAATGGCCGTAACAGCCCTTTTCCAACCACATTAATCTTATAGACAGTATCAGTATCAGTATTTACCACTGGTATCTATAAAAAGAACACAAAACTATTTTAGAAAGCAATTAATCTAATAAAGCTATATACGTATAGTTTCATGTTTTTGTGATATGTGATGCTTTGGCATATACTTTTAACACCCAAATGCACCCTTTTTATTTGTAAACAGTGTCAGTTTGAAACGAATATTTTCAATCATTGTCTTTCGAAGAGGATTTCTATGTGACGAATTGAGTGAATTGCTGTTTGTATACAAAAGAAGCTGGTAAACATAAAAGTATCACGAGGAAGTTAACATCAATTTATATCAATTTTAGATGAGCCGATCGATTGGTTAATAAAGTAGCAGATACCTACATTTTTGTTTCATGACGAAATCTACGAGGAAGTGACGAACTAAACGAGGATATGACGAAGAAAACTAGTGAACGCATATGGGTTCTCCAAAATATGATACGTACGAATGATTTCATAAATGAGGCTAAAAATGTCATCGTGAAACTTCGTATTAAGGTAAAATCGTTTGGTTACTAAATTATTTTGTTAAAATCTTAATGATAAATAAAATACATGTATGTGTTTATAAGCATCAGTTCATTTTGCATTGTCAAAATAATTTTTACGCGTTTATATTTTGGACACTTTTTGTCGTAACAATGCCGGAATTATACGTCTAACACCTATATCATTTGACCATCATTTGACACCAACTTTCTGTTACATTTAATTATTCATGTAAAACAATGGTTCAATACACTGGTTTTGTGGAGTTATTTTCTTTGCAACATGCATAAAGAATATGCTAAAAATATTTTTGTACATGCGTGCGTGCGTGTGAAGACATTTAGGGTGTGTTTTGATTTTTTATCATTTATCATTATTTTGTTGATCAATAATTCAGGACCAGGGATGAAGTCATTCTACAAGGGGAGATTTATTTTTCATGCAAAATATATCAAATCAGACAATACTCAATTTGCAGTAACATTATCTTTTAAACGTCAAATATGTAGCATACAATGAAATTACGGGACAATAACTACATTTGAATGCGGATATCTCACATTCATTTCCAGCATTTATGAAACTCAATACGTTTGAAGTTCACTAAACAAACGGATATTTGATGACATGAATTCATCAATGAAAATATTTACA